CTCATTTCCCCAGGGAGGGTGAGGTCCTCCATGGGGGTAGGTCATACCTTTTTTAGTTGTTGAAATTCGTTTCATTAGTGGAAAAGGGAGAGGATTTTACTTTTATTCCTGCCAGCAAGCCACATTTTATAATTTGTGAACACTAGGTGGCAGGATGGGACTGCAGATACCCAATTCCTCAACTATCAAGAATTCCATCCTCACAGGTTCCTAGAATTCTTATTCAAAGTACAGCATGTTACTCTTTAAATTATTTATTCTGTACATTACAAACCCCTTTATGCTTATAAATATTCATATTCTAGACAACAGGGTTGTGGTAAATAAAACGAATGAAAATTTGAAGAAAATAGAATAAATTACAAATTGCTAAAACCTTTTACAAGTTATAGTAATGACAATAGTTGAATAATATAATATAAAATAACATAATATAATATGTAATATACAAAATAGTATATTGTCTTCTGGTATTAGAAAGCATTAAAACTATCTGTCACCTTTGAATTTAATGATTAATTTGTTTGCAAATATAGAATTGTTCATGTAAAAAATGACCTATAGGTCAAGATGTCAAATTAAAATTTAAATTAGATTTTGTTTTCACAATCAAGATTAGTATTAAAAAATAGGAAGCATTTCACAACACATCCAGTATAAATTGATATCATGAGATGAGAAAGCATAGTCTTCAATGTCTAACTCTGTTCCAGAAATAGAAAGAATTATTTTAAGCCTTTCTGGGAAAGGAGATTTTCCTGCCTCAAATGAACTGCTCACACATTAATTCTTGTTCTTTATTTATTACTCGTCCATACCAATAGATTCACGGAACAAGGCTGACCAAATGCAGTTTTTCACTCAAGCAGGCACACTCCTGAGCATGAAGGGGTAAGGCCCACAGAAGTGAGAAATAAAATCACTCCATCCAAGAGCACTTAGAACCGAGAGCTCACTTCACCTTACTTAAATAAACCAGGAATTTTTAAGCTTTTCAATCTGAAATTTGTTCTACATGTTCTATTTCATGACTCATTTGCCAGTATACTAACCCTTTCTTCTTCCAGTAGACTCTCATGAACACCACCAGCCAGATAATACTATATCCCCAGATGTTCAAATCCACCAAGACACATCAAGAATGAGGCTTTGTGAATAGGTAAATGTTTGGTTGATTCTGATGTGATTGGACTGTCTTGGGGAAGTTCATCATGAAATCCTGTAGGAAATATGACAGGATCGTCAGATGACTTTGTTATTATGCGGATGGCATGCATGCATTGAATGCTTACTTTGAATTCTGTTTTTGCACTTGTATAAATCTTATGCATACTAAATCTTACTAAAATGTTATTACTTATCTTCAATAAATAATTTGTACAAGTAGAATGAAAACTGGTCCCTTAGTTTTAGAAATAACATATTCACTCTCAGTAGACATGGTGTTGGGTAGAAATTGATTTACCAAATGCAATTAATTATTCTTTGCCTTGGAAAAAGCCCTAACAGCAGTTGCTAGGTAAAGCAGTACACAATGAAGTCAACTTGTTACCTTAATAAAAATTTTTTGATGTAAGTGTGTAAGACTTTTGCGTTTCTCAAATACTGAATTCTTATAAGGGATGGAGTACGCTAGCCTTTTAGTTACATCAATGATTTAAAGATATTTTACATTATAAACATACAAAAAGTGCTAATTTAAGATGCTAGCTGCAAGCGGTCACAAGCTTATGTTTTGGTTGTGAGCCTAGCCTTTAACGGCTGAGCCATCTCTCCAGCCCTCACAAGCTTATTTTTAAATGCTGTCTTTGACCACCCTTGCGCTTCCACTGAGAATGGTCTATCTATAACATGTTCCATGTAAAAATGTTCTGTTTTGGTTGTTTTTAAAGAACCATATTTCAAGGCAATAGCTACAGAAACTCAAGTGGTCAGTTTAGACAGCAGAAACCTAAATTTGTCACACATGATTTTCATCTAATTTGTCTAGCTTGTGGATCTAAGACTTGGATTTAGCATCTTCTTGATTAATTGCTTTGTGAGGCAAGGGCCATTTTGTAGGGGAGGCTATAGCCTTATTTAGAGATGTTGGCACTTTTGTGCCCCATAAAGGACCAAAATGCAGGGCATAAGTCCTGCAGTAAAATTCTGAAATGGACAAATATTCCTCCAAATGCCTTTCATCCGTGCTTTATTCCTCACTTTACAGAGAGGTGGACTGGGAGCCCTTGTGCATGGCTTATGCTCTATGTGGGTGTACTGGCAGCACTAGCTGCTAATTACAGATAACGGGATTTCTTACATGCTTTCAACTGTCTTTTATACGGCCCAAACAGAAGACATCTTATTTGTTCTTTATTTCCTAAAACACAACTATTTTGAGTGTTTATCTGAAAATACAAACTTGATCACTACTTATCAAAGAATTCTAAGTAGCATCAGTATGTTCTGGGAAAAGATCACAATATAAAATACACGTGGAGCAGGTAAGACTGAATGAATGTACTAGCAATATCCCATTGGCTCAGAATTACCTAATTAATTTCTGGAATTATTTCTTGTCATACTAAAGAGTACATTTGAGAAGTTTCCCTCAATCTTTTCACTTGTCCATACATGTGTTGGCATATTCTAGCTTCCCAGAGCATCTATCAATATAGCATGTAGTAATATAGCATTTATTCATCTGATTACTAGGATGTACATTTACTACTCTAACGAAGACACATATATGATACTAACAAGAATTATTCAGAATCTCTATGGACCACAGACATAAGCCTATGTACCCAACCAACAATTTATTCTAAATACTACAAGTTGTATTAAATTTGTCATTTAAACAGCACCTTGTATATCTATATTGCAGGAGAATGATCATTGGATTGTGATTAGCCAGGCATCATCTCAAAGAAAGAATTCCTTTACTTACTAAGACCCTGCTATGTTTGAACAAATCCAATGAATGAATCAAAAAATGTTATGCTTTAACATTTACTGGAAATGTGTGTAGCTTTCCACACATCAGTCTCTGTCTCAGGGGTCAAACATTCTTAGAACGGTATATGCGGACACGTACTGTGATCATTTGGGAGTTAAAGATCTAGTATTTGCTTTACCCTGAACTTTAAGCTGGAAACATCATACTCAAAAGTTCTGTCACAATCATGCAGACAAGTGTGAGCACCTGCACTGGGACGAAGCCTTGTCGCTCCCTGTGCATCGTGTGACTCCGCATCAAAACTCCGCAGTTTTCACCCAAGCACGTCTCTGCTGTTTTTCTGATTAATGAGTTATTATTTAAGGAGGCAGTGGTGACTACAGCATTGGCTTTTCTTCCCAAGAGCTGGAGGAAACAGCACAACGGAAAATAATCCAATAGTTCCCTAAAGAAAGCAAAACTAAAATTCTATACAAAGTGACTTCCCAATTTACCTCAACTGCTCAGGCTCCATCTCCGAAGGTCATACATTGTGTCATTTAAGTTTGCTGCATAGCTTTTCCTTTAGTGGTGATTGATTGAGATTGTCAATTATGTCTCTTATTTTTATACGTATATATCCTATTATAGATACATACATAAAATTGAAGATCTTGTAATAAATTTCTTCCACAGATGAAGAAAGTAAAAGTTTAAAAAAAGACCACAGTTTTTCAGAAGTACATTATTCTTAGATTCTGTAGCCTGTGACTTTACTTCCGTTGCTAATCTTCAGGGACTCTGGGCTCAGTTTGCTACCTAGTTGCAGTAGCTTACCTATCAGTCTGTGCCTCTGAGCTTAATTCAGGGAGATTTCCTTGCTCATTATAAAATATGTTGATCCAAAGTTTAAAAGATGTAAATAATTCCAGATATTATTTCATTTATCTTTTCCCTTTGTGAGAAATTTGATGCAAAGATCATGCGACTTTTTGTACTGTCTGGGTTCGGGAGTTATGATTATTGCCAAATCTCATAATTTGTCACTTTATATAAAACTAACAAATATATTTCAGGTTTATAGTTTTTTTCCCTGCTGACACTCAATGATTTCTTAAAGTGTTTATGATACAATTATGTTTAGAGGTAAAATTTTTTAGAAAAAATTACAATTCATTTACCACATAAAATTATTGCATTGTATCATGTTTGAAAATAGCTATATTTTCTGTCAGGTATAAATACTGATACCCCAAAATACAGAGTGCCACATGCTAATTTACAGGTTTTCTATTATCTTTGAATAATAACTGAAAACACTGTAAATTGTAAGTACTTATGTGTGACTTAAATGTTAATAAACAGATAATATGAAATAAAAAAGAAAATACATTTTCTTTAAGGTTATTTTGAAACAAAATAATATAATGTTTAGGTTATATACAATGACATAATTACATCAAATATTTAAAAGTATGTGCTATAATTTTACACTCTATATACAAATAGGCTTTATGATATAGTCACATATGCTTATGTCATGAACGAGTAAAAGGAATTTTTAGAAAGGGCAGAACAAAGCTCCTTCATCTCTTCATACAAAATTGATTGTGGATTGGATCACATATCAGTGCTCCGAATTACTGAGCCTAAAGTAATTGTGATTCTCATAACTCCATGCACATTTAGGAAGAAAGATGTGACAGATAACATTGTTCCTGTGTGTTCTGGGAACTCTAGTTCAACACACACACACACACACACACACACACACACACACACACACACACACACACACACACACCTAACTCCTTTGATTCTTTTACACTCAGATTGCCTACCCATCACAGTCAGCAAGTTCTAACAACTCAGTCTACGTAAAAGCCCGCCAGCTTTTGCTGGTAACAATGTGTTCACACAGCAAAGGATCTCTGTCTGCTCAGGCTGCTTCTTGCTCTTGTCAGAGTGAGAAGGGAGTTGCTGCTCCTTTCCTGGGGTAAGCTATTTGAGAAAGAAAGTAACCTAACACTAACTGCAGGCGGGGCGGGGTGATGTAACAGGAAGCGGTGATGTTTCCCTTCTGTGGCTGATCACTTACAATCTGACAACACTCCCCATCTACTCAGAGCAAGCCCTCTCTCTCCAGCCCTGCAGTCCTGCCTTAGACTCAGGCTCCCTTGCCTGGAGCTCACTCATCCTGCCGGCAGGACCACAGTGTAAGGCTCAGACTCTTCTCACGTCGTCTAGGGGGAACCGCTCTCCTGCGGAATCTCAGACAATCAAATTCCTTCCTGAGACTATTTCACACAGAATTTCCTTAGGAGCGGTGCTGGGTAAGTGTATTATTCAGAATTTTTATTCTCAGTAAAATTCTCAGGTCGTTTGGCAATGCTTCTAGCAAGGATTTAGTAAGTGGTACTGAAATAATGTTGAAACCGCCTTTTTTAAATTCTACACTAGCGAGTCTTACAACAGTGCATGCAAAATCTGTTACTAGTGTATAAGGGTATTTACAGTGGTATTTAGAAAATAAAATTCCCGACTAACTAACCTTGTGAATGGACTGGAAGGCAAATTTCTGAACAAATATTTTAATCCGGAGACAATGCCGTTTAAAATTAGTTCTACTATTGGCTAAATCCAGTCCTGACAGCTGGAAAACATCTGCCCCTCAGGAAGGGTCTTTACAGTTTCCACATAATCAGTATTCTAAGGAAGGGGTGGCAGAAAACTCGTGGGGCTCAAGAGTCTTCCTGTGTGGCTGAACGCAAAGTAGGGTTAAAAGAAAAGCCACCAGTCTGGACTTCTGTGAGCCTTTCTATCTACACTTACATCCCTAACTACCGAACCAATGGCATTTTCACTCTTCTTTGTTGCCAGATATGTGTAAATAGCTTTGCTTTTGTTTTGTTCTTTTTTGTTTGTTTCTTGGAGGGGGGTTCTTGAACTGTTTCCATTGCGTTTAAATCATGAGTGTTTTACAAGTTAAGTAAGGAAAACAAAAACAAAAACCAAACAAAAACAAAAAACTGCAACAAAACAAAAAAAAAAACTGAACTGTCCAGTGTTGTTAAGAAAATGTAGTGATTTCTGCATTACTTCATGTTTTTTTTTTAAACTTTCAAGCTTAAGAGTGGTGTAATTTCAACTGTCCTGCAAATTTGCAGGGAAGAATGTCCTAGGAGCTCTCTATAGATACCAAAACAGTGATATGACAAGCAAGTGTATTAACTCATTAAACAGAGGAATTACATTAGGTATTCCAAGAAGCATTTGTGGGACAAAGCTGAGATGAAACATCTGTAATGCGCTCTCCCACAGTACAGACTGTCCTGAGAATCGAAGAAACTAGTGTCTAGTTAACAAGTGGTTATTACACAGACATTGCAAATTATCGCTAGGGGATGTAAGACATCAGATTTGGATTTGAATTGTGTTACTAGCATAATTATTGAATTCTATGTTTTCTCACTCAAGTGAAATCATACAGCTCTGAGATGTCTTTCAATGCTAGCTAGCAGTCTGACCACAGCCACCCGTCGTCTGGCAAACAAACAGCATGTACAAACTCATCTTGAGTAAGTCCTTAATGATTTTTGGCGCTGTTTCCATACATGCTTTTCAATGGAATGGAAACATTAATTTGTACACTTGAAAATTTTAAAAGCATTGTAGCTGATTTATGTTTTCAGTTTTTTTATTACTATACCACTGTGTTTTCAGATGTGTAGAAATGCATAAGGTGTTTTTAAGACACGACTTTTTACAAATACTCATTTGGTAACTGGAGAAAGAAGTAGAATCAACACATTAAATAATTGAATTCATATAGTAACAGAAACTGAGAAGCATTATTCTAAACCAGATTACTTTCTGAAATTAGGTACCTTAATAAATTATTATAAATTAGTAACTACACAAACTCTTCTGATTTTTGTTGAATTAATGCTCCAAATACGTAATCATCTTGTATAGTTTATTTAAATATCCTCATTTATATTCACAGCATTGTTTAAAACAATCTTTATTACCAAAAATGATAACAGAAAAATGCCAGGCAATGAATATTGATGGTCATTAGGTGTAGACATTATCTAAGTTAATAACTGGGAGGTAAAATAAGAATTCATATCATTCTAGAATAAATGTGACATTTAAAATGAATAAACAAATGTGTGAGAATAAACTATGTTTATATCTATGTTAGTTTAACTTTATGGAAGATATTCCTCGTAGCATCATAAAATCAATGCATATGATCTTAGACAAGTCTTAAATATGTCAAATAAAAATACAGAATTCAAAAGCACCATGTCTCATGTGATCTGAAATACGTTTTATCTAAACTGTTCTATTTGTAAAGTGATACATTTAGATGGCTATTTGCAGCCGGTACAACAATAAGGTGTTATCAGTTTTATCTCTGCTTGCATTTTGATAGTAACTATTTCTTCAGAATTGTTTTTTAATTTTGCAGATAAATTAATACAATTACCTTTAAAGAATCAAAATAGGCATTCATGAAAGAAAATGTGTTTCCTGCTTTATACATGACTTTGATTGATCTAGTAAAGTTAATTTTGCTTTTAGAGGTACAATGAGGTCACTTTTCCAGAATTCAGATAAAGTCCAAGAACTTAATTCCTTGTTTTTGTTTGGGATTTAGGGAAGCTTCTAAAGCATTAACACAAGTCATGTCTCACAGCAGAGTTAATGGAAGCTAGGGGTCAAGTCTATAGTACAGCCTAACTCCTAACTCATTCAGAATTCACTCACAATGAAGACGAGTGACTAGCACACAGCTGACGAGAGAACAAACATTTCTCTGGGCCTGGTTTGGAAGAGCTGTCTGTGGATGAAGGCTAGACATGTATTTTTTAATGCAATCTCTTTCTACAAAGGACTATACGGCAACATTAAATTATTTTAAAAACTCATTTAATATGTAAAGGTATTCCAATGCAATTGTGTAGAGACTAAACTTTGCAAAATTACAAATAAGATCTGCATCCTGACGACGTGTGAGTATTCTCCCCATTTACTTGTATAGAAATTCTCTTTCTGCCCCAAATCTTTCATAATGGCAGTTGTACAAGCTCCAAGTATCTGTAGTCTACCCATTTTAAATTTTAGGTAACTGGAGAAAGAAGTAAAAACAATACCTTAAATAACTCGATGTTTTTATTGCATAGTTGAATATTCAGTGGAACAATAGGTAGAATATAAAAATTCAGTGAATAAAAATGAAGGTGTCATGCTTAAGGAAAAATGAAAAAAGTGAACTATATATCATAATCGTATTATAATATTCATTTGACAAAAAGAAATATATTTTTATATTCTGCTGCAATTTTCAGGACAGCAGAAATTCCTCAATAAATCCAGGTGATTAGTCTTTTATTTGTAATTTAGTATTATAATACTTGACAGTGTATTAGCTTAAAACAAATAATCTCAACACTTTTTAAATCATTTCAGTTTTTTAAATCAATGAATTGTTTTAGAAAAAAGAAAAAAGTTTAATTTTGAAGGACACATTAAACATTTTACTCCCAGTCAAGCAGTGGTGGCACACTCTTTAATTCCAGCACTTAGGAGGCAGAGGCAGACTGGTCTATCAGTTTGAGGCCAGCCTGGTCTACATAGTGAGTTCCAGGACAGCCAGGTCTCCATAGAGAAACCCAGAGAACCAAAAATCCAAAAAACCCAAAACCAATCAAACACAAAAAGAACCCCTCCAAAACCCCAATCACCAACAACAGAACCCCCCAAAACAACAACAACCATTTACTTTCTAGTATTGTTAAATAAATTTGTCACTAGCCACTAGTTTGCTAGAAATATTGTCACATAATACATTTTATTTTTACAGAACACATTTCTCTCATTTTTTCTTCAGTTAGTTTCTTTATGGAACACTATATTATGTAGCACAAACACATTAATATACTGTTTGCAAATTCAGTCAAAATAATATATAAAGGTTTTTAAAAGGAGTTTAATCCATACATGGTTTAAAAAATACGTTATATTTTTCTGCCTTCCAGTCAATTAAAATATCTAATGCGACATGAGCCAAAGAAACAGAATAATAAATTGACCAATTACTTAATAATCCCATGGTATTGGAGTTTAATTCTCTGTTTCATTGCAGTATTTGGGTGGAATCTGTTTTTAAGAGAACTCTTGCTCCCCTTAACACTATACCATTTTTTTAAGCTAAAAGAAACTACCTTCATAAGGCATACACTATTGCAAAAATACCTTACCATTATTACTCTATTCAGGCTTAGCCTAAGTTAACTGTGTTTAACCTGAGTCCAGTTGTGTTTTTCAGAAAAGCTCTAGTAAATCTTCAGACAGCATTTATAGCGTTAAGTAAACAGCAGGTTGGTTTGTAATAGACTGAGTTTATTACACCTCAGTTCCCTGGAAGGTCTTTTACTTGCTCCTGGATAGATAAGGCTGACTTTAACAATGAAAACTAGTATAAACTTGTCTTATATCCAAACACTAGCTGGAAACCAATAGCTATTCAGTTATTTTTTTGTATATCTAACTCAATTTAACCTACTTTCTAGGTATAATTTCAAGGGAAAATTGAGACTTTGGTCAAAGTTTGAGGAAGGAATGAATACATTACATTTTTAATTCGAAATGATAAAGGTGAAAAAATAATTTCATCAGTATAAAACTGTTATTAATGATTCTGAAGCTATTTTTTAATATAAGAGGCAAAAGAGAGACCTGCTTAGGTTAATAAATGGAACCTAATATTAGAATAACAGGCTTAGTATTTTATAAAACAGGCTGCCAATGTGTGCTCCTTCAAGATCTTAATTTCAATGAGGTTGATAAAGACCTTCGAAAGAACATTCCAATATGCTTACCTGGATAAGGAAAAACAACTTATACAATTGCTTTAGAAATTCAAGTGTTATGTCTACACATGAGCCTAGCAAACTCTAGCCCTACAACATCAGCATGTGAATCTCAGAGTTTACCACTTAGTTTTCCTCATCATCTATAAACAGTGAGTGATAATCATGCTGCTTTATAAAGATTAGCGTGAAGTGTGTGAGAAAATATGTGGATGTGTTTAGCATGAAATATGTTAGAAATATACGTGGACTGTGGTCACAGAATATTTGGGTATAAGTAGCTGTTCAGTCTATTTCAGAGATCATCAGGTCTTTCTGAAATACAACCGAAGCCATAATGTGTATTTGTACAAAAATATCCAACATTTAGGCAATGAAAATACATTCTGCTCATATGACGGAGCATGAGCAAGTGTAATTATTCAAAGTGATTATCCTTTTGTCCTCATGAAATATGCATCAGAGCAAAATCTTGATTACTATTTAGCGTGACATGAGGGCTTGTATGTGTAAATCCAGCACTTACAAAGTGGAGGCAGGAGGATTACCCCAGTTTAGAGGTCAGCTTGGGCTATTAATAAGCTCTAGTATAGCATGGGCTGCAGAGTGAGATGCTGTCTAAAGTATATAAATAAATTACTGTCTAGAGTGTAGTTGCAAATACTATCCATGGAAGCTTAAAACAAAAAGAATATTGAGATCCAACAAACTCAACTTATGTGATTAAAAGTCTTTTTGGTTATTTGGATTTTTAGACTGTCTTGTAGTAGATATTTCTAGTTACTTTGTAATGATAAACACACGTTTTCTTATTTATTAAAATCTCTCGAGAGTACCTGTTCAAGAAGATGAAAACAGTTAGGTTATGAAAGAATTGAGATAATTTATTGTAAGCGTTTGCTTTTGAATATTTGTGGGTTATGACCTTCTTGTGAATGTGGTAAAAACTGAAAACCCTTTCTGAAGAGACGATAAACATGCAGATAAACTTCATTCACAGAGACACATTTTTTAAATGTAATTGCGTGGGATTCACAGGACTTCCTGTTTGATGGATCTTGCTTTCCTGATTCTCATCTATACAGGGGCTTTCTCATTTGCTTTTCTGCCCAGATTACAATCTGCTTTTATGATGGTGCACTTTGAGGAAGAAATTCTTCTTTTTGTTCTTCACATTATGGTTTAATTCCATGGGGGACACCTCTGTTATAACTCACTTGACTGTATAGCTATTTCTATTGAGAAAATACTAGGATTAAAATGCATTGAATTGACAGTGGAATTAAAAAGAATTTTCACTGCTAAAGTATGAAAGGTTAAAGCTGTTGTAGAATACCCCAACAAAGACAAATATAATGTGAGTGGTGTAGAATTCATCAGATCGATCTTTATTTCAGTGTTATTACTTCCTAATGTTTCATCTGCAATCCAGAGCTGTCCAGTTAGTACATGGATACAGAAAATAATGGACATATCAAGCTCTGATACTTTAGACAACACTTAAACAACTGCCCACCAATCTGTGGCAAAATGAGGAAAGTAGAATACTGACAGCAGCACCTATTGAGTTCATACCTCCAACTGAATTACTTGACTGTTGCCCAAAACAGAGGCCCTGTTCCATGTGTCACAGGGGACTGAAGAGATGACTGTTAGGGGTTAAGAGCACTGGCTGATCTTCCAGAAGACCTAAGTTCAATTCCCAGTACTCACATGGCAGCTCACAACTGTCTATAACTGAAATTCCAGGGAATCTGACACCTCACACCAATGTACATAAAATAAAATTAAGTAAATTATCAAAAAACCAAACAAACGCAATATAGGACTTTCCACGTGATGAGGTCTTGTTGGAAACTCTATGTTACTTTTGTATATTTTAGTTGGATGGAATTTTGTTCTTTAAATATTAATATGCACTAACTATGATTAAACAATGCATCACTGTATTATGACCATTTTAAGACTTGAAACATGGAATAATAGCATACTAGAATCATTTGTAAAGGATAAATAAGGAAAATAATATGAGAAATTGAATTAACTAAAAATGAGACAAGCATTAAGATAATTAAAGTTTCAAACTGTCAACTGGGTTGTTGAGATCTCATTGATCAGATCTCACTTGAAAGCCTTCCTCTTCAAATCACTGAAGTCAATTTGCAAAGTTTTATCCTTAAGAAATTGCTTTTAAAAACAAAACAAGCATGCCTATATTTAATAACTCATGTTTTTATTCTACCTAGTTCTACAACTATATACATTAGCTCACAATGAATATAATAAAATTAACAGGGTTTATATATGAGTTTGGCAAGTTTTCAAGAACACCCACTAAATGTACAGTGCATTAACTATGCATTCACTAAGGTGTATTCTCTAAGTTCTGAACTTCAGTAATTTAAGGACCATGTTTTCCAACCCTTTCATAATACATATAACTTCTGAAGTGGCAGACCTTTATACATTTAAAAAACTAATCGACTCTTCCTAATTCAGAGACAGGAAACAGGTGCCCAAAGTGTGTGCCCTTGGAGGATTTTGTGAAGTCTAGAGACAGTTTGTGCTACGAGGAGAAGAAGGTAGGTTTGTGCACCCAGACAACAGTCATTTCCACCTGGTTTAACTTCAAATATAGTTCCACACCTGAAGTGATATTTTCCAAAAAATCTAACAGCATTGAAAACTTAAAAGGGAGCTTTTTTTTCTTCCCAAGACAGGGTTTCTCTGTCCTGGAACTAGCTCTTGTAGACCATGCTGGCCTTGAACTCACATTGATCAGCCTGCCTCTGCCTCCCAAGTGCCGGGATTAAAGGTGTTCGACACCAACGCCTGGTCAAAAGGGAGCTTTTCTATCTGGACATATGTCACATGTATCCATACCAAAGTGAAAAGCCATTTGAAGTAAGATTAAATTTGTGTAAATACCAAAAATTCTTTTGTACAGCATTATGGATAGAAGCTTATGACAGAGTCAGTGAGGGAGGTCTAACTGGAGTAAAATGGAGGAGAAATAATATTTTACTGTTAGCCACAGAGAGATGCATCATTGCAGCCTCCGGTTATGAAAACTAACCCCACTCCTCATCATTCATGGGTACAGGATTCTTAGCATACAGACTTCAGATCTCCTTCTTCCCGTTGTGGAGCTCCTCAGCTCTGGAAAACTGGCTTAACACCTGTACTTCTAATATACACCAACACAAATTAAAGGGACATAAGAATGCCATCTAACTTTTTCTATGTTTCTTTTAATGACCATAAAGGTTCTTCTCCCGGACATCAACAGGCAAAGTTCCTCACTTCTCTGTAGTGTGACTCATTATAGTCATTTGCTGTGAGCTCTGCCCAAGTCACTACTTAGAATCAACCTTTGCCTACCCCACTACTGTCCTCTCATGTTTTTCAACTACGTAGTATGGCCTGGACTTTTCCTATAATAGTAAGCATCTAGCAACAATCTATCTTAAGCAATTGTTACACTTTTTCCGAACTTTGTCTATTCCTCTTGCATGTTCCTTTTCCATATACAAAGGCATTTCACTAATTTTCTAAACTTTTCTAGAAAGGACTGAATGCCATTGGTGCTCAAAATTGTTCAACAAATGGTTGAATGGATGAATTCTACATACTGGTCTTTATGCCACAGAAAACTACACATTGACCTCATGGTTTTGGATGCTGGAGCTTCAATTCTGAATGTGTTAGGATCTCTGCACACATCCAGAGAGGAAACCAATGACTATTTTTTTATCCTCAGTTTGTCTAATGTTTATCCCTATACTGTCTTTGTGAGGGAAACAAACTGAAGGAGGCTTTCTGTGATGAGCTTGGTGTTCAGGTTTCACTGAATTCCAAGCAATGAGCCTTCCAACTAGTATAACTAAGAAAAGAGCCCAGGGTTTTGACACAAAGTGTTGAAGCCTTTCCACAAGAGACCCAACAATGGCTGAAACTGGCAGAATTATTGTTGAAACTGGCAAACTTGCCAACTGTTGGCTCCTGACGAAGCCTTACTCCATTACTTACTGCCTTTCTGGACAATGGAGCTAGGTTGTCTACAAAAGCAAAAAGCTTAGCAGCGGAGATGAAAGAAAGTAAATCAAGCGTTTAAAAAGAACACATGTGGGAGAATGCAAATTTGGTTTAACAGCGGGAGGGAAAAAGTTTAATAGGCGTCAAGTTACATCCTTGTCCTCTGTTAGTCACTAAGACTTTTAATGCCAATCAACCAGTATTTATTAAAAACTCCAAAAGAAATGCTAACTCTCAACATCCTTCACATGTGTACAGTTTTGTAGGTTTATTAAACTTAAAGTCAAAGAGCTATTTTATAAACTCAGAATACATTTTTATATGTATAGAAACAGATTCTCTCTCTTTCTCTCTCTCTCTCTCTCTCTCTCACACACACACACACACACACGAGAGAGAGAGAGAGAGAGTCATGATTAAATAAAATCTTGATCTGTCACCATTCTCCATGTGTGACTTTAATCAAATGTATCTTTTGAGTTGATATAATATGCAAGTTGTAAAAATAACAACCAATCTTTTGTAAGTAGAATCCCCATTTGCTTGAGAGTCATAGAGCTCACCATTCATTCATGAAGAAACATCATGTAGACCTTCAATCTGAGCCCAGATATTTATGTAAGTCAGAAATACGATACTTTTGGGAGGATAAAGAGTGCTGTCCATTATATTTGGATACAGACAATGTATATTCAGAGCATAATGAATGAGATATGCATCATAGTTCCTATTTTACCCTTATTCTCTAGTAGCAGCATTGACTAAATTTTTAAACCATGAGCAACGAACTGCATCATACTCATACTCTTCACCGCCAAAATTCAGAATTAAAACAACTTCTTGTTGCCGTTCTTTTCTATACTTTAATTGTTGAAATTTTTGGCTTCATTTGAAGTGGTCATTATTAAGTACTGTATTTGTGATTAAATTATTATCATAAAGCGTAGAGAGAATCATGCTCTAGCTTTTAAAATTTAGTCTTAATTTAATGTGTCTCTAGAATGCAGAAATTTCTGCTTGTTTTTATTTTGTAATATTCATAAATAATGTATCCCAAGAACCTAAGTGCTGAAACATCTGCTAAAAAGACAATGCAATACTGTGCAGTGTATTTACTTCATTCCAGGTAGCACATACCAGGAAATAATAAAGTAATGTGGCATCAATAACATTCAAAAAAGACAAAGTGGCAATAATTTCTAACAAGTGGATTTGATTAAGCTATGCAAAAGGCACTTAAAAATAAATTACCCATAGGAAAATAAATACTTTAATGAAATTTCAAATCAAGTACTTTTGAGAGCAAAAATGATTAATTTCTCAGTTTGCAGAACTACTTTACTTTCTCAAGGTAGCACCAATCTCTGGAGCGACAAATGAGTTTCCCATGTATACTTGTTCAGAAAAACACTGTGCCAAAAATAATTCCTCTTTTTCATCTAGATTTAGTAGAGGCAACAAATACGTTTGAGAACCTTTAACTGAATACCACTTATAGGTTGAATATGGTATGTTAAAATATTTAATACTAAACCACATCTGTGAAATTTGCTGTGCATTTTGAATAGTTCAGCAATTACTTTAATTAGTTCTCTATTGCATAGAGAAATTTTGGTATCACACAGGACAGATGGTAAATCGTATGGTGCAGCATTTTTTGACTCTTGTATATGCTGGTTGGTCTCCCTTTACTCTGTGAAACACCTCCCTGCAAGTAATTGGCATCAGTGACTAATCCACTGCCTACAAAGTGAAGTAGTTCCTGAATCAATTTTGTAATTTATGATGTTACCTACAAACAAATGTTATTTATAGTATTTGGTAAGGGTCATTTCAGTTAACTCCTGTTAAGAATTACCAACTTCAGAAAGTTCTAGAAAGGCAATTTTTGTTTGTTTTGCTTTTGAGACAGGGTTTTTCTGTATAGCCTTGACTGCCCTGAATAGACCAGGTTGACCTCGAACTCATAGAGATCTGCCTGCCTCTGCCACCCAGGTGATGGGATTAAAGGTTTGCACCACCACAGACAGGATTAGAAAAACATTTGTATGTGCCATAGTTTGATTAAATATTTTAAAACCCAAAACATTTAATACAACCTAAAGTGTTTCACTTTTGAGGAAATCCAGAGCATCACACTTGCTACAAGGAGCAATTTGAAAGAAAAGCTTGGAGACATGTGTAGAAGTTGATGAAATTTGAAATGAAAGGAACAAAATCAAAGAGGCATTAATCAGAACACTTCACCTTAATTAATGGTAATTATTAATGACTAAGTGAAAGGTCTGATATAAAATCAAGTCAGGAATGAAATTTGAAAGTAAAAGAAACTAAAAAAGACAAGAGAAACACAAAATGAATTCAGCAGGTTGATTTTATACACTTAAATGTATATGTATGGTGTGTGTGTGTGTGTGTGTGTGTGTGTGTGTGTGTAAAACAATACTAATAAAAGAATAAGAAGCCAAGAATTTGAAATGAATGGAGAGAAGTGTGGAAGGAGCTGTAGGGATAAAAAGAGAGGGGGAATGGTGTAAATATAAAACACATATGTGAAATTCTCAAAAACTAAATGAATTCATTAAACAAAGGAAAATTGAATTAAGTGAGCAGAATAACAGGATAAAATACTAGGCTAGACTAGAAGATAGGCTGGTTCAGTAAGATGTTTTATTTGCCACAATAATAAAAAAATAAAAATCCAATCTCAAAGCATGTCATTTAAGATGTGGAGAAACTAGGTACATGACCATGGATGATGGACACTACAGAGCAGAGTGTACTTTTTAAGTTAATAAGTAAATCTAAAATTATGTTGGGAAAAAAACTTTATCTTGCATTTTTGGGTACTTGGGGTTAATGATTAAGCTTAATAGTTACTACCTGAGATAAGCTCCAAGAAGTGTCTATTAAGTTGTGAAAAGCAAATAGGTTTACTGTCTTGTTCTAAAGATTGAACTCAATTGGTCAAGATAATGGCTCCACCTATAAGTGGTGGTATCTTGAAGTCTAAACTGTCCACACATTGTAGTTTCTCAGGATAGTTTCTGAATAGACAGTCATCACACTGGAAGGGTCAGGGCTGTTAGGTAAAGTTTAAGTCCTTTTCACCAAGCCTATCAGACAGTGTTAGATGGTTCAACACAGCTGGAAGTAAGCCATAAGTTTCCCAGAGTGCTCTGAAAGTGTTCTCTTCAGTGACACCCTGCAGATCATGAGAATATACTGTATGGTTATACTAGGGTCAAATGCATAATAACAGCACAGGAGGGCAAGCAAATCACATGGTCAAGTGATTTTCTGTTTCAAAAACTACCAAATTCTAAGCATTCACACTGAAATATGAGAAAAAAAGAGATATGTAAAACTTTAATTTTTGAGCCTTGACTCTGAATAAATAGCATTGATAGCAATTCCATTCAGAGGTATATTTCCCCTCTATGAATCACTGTAATTACAAGTGTCAGAAACTTGCTATTAATTCAAATTGCAGCTTCTCTGCTTTCACTGGATTCAGGAGTAAGCACTCATATACACATACACAGGTGCACACACAGAGACTTGCATACAATAGGACACACATGCATGCATGCACACATACACACATGCCCATACATCTGCACACACACACACACACACACACTCACACAAATACACTTGGAAGCATACATGCATTAACTCAAGGTTTTTTTGCCATTTTAAAAAACAAAATAAAATATAAGTTAAAACAAAAACGATCACATCTGATTGGATAAGGCAAACTAACTGAAGGAAAAGAGCCCCAAGAGAAGGCACAAGAATCAGAGACCCATTCATTCACACACTCAGGAATCCCATAAAAATACCATATGACCTGGTGCAGACCTGTGTTGGCCCCGTGCTTGCTGCTTCCATTGCTGTGAGTTGACATTAGCATTGCTTCGTTGACTTAGTGGGTCTTGTTCTCCTGGTGTCCTCCATCTCCTCTGGTTCTTACATTCTTTCCTCTTCCACAGTGCTCCCTGAGTTCTGAGAGATGGGATTTTATGGAGACATCTCATTTAGAACTGTGTGTTACAAGGTCTCTCTATCTCTCTCTCTCTCTCTCTCTCTCTCTCTCTCTCTCTCTCTCTCTCACTCTCACTCTCTCTGCAATGTCTGAATGTGGGTCTCTGTATTTGACTCCACCTGCTGTAGAAAGAAGCTTATCTGATGATGGCTGAGTAAGTCACTGATCTATGAGTACAGCAGAATATTAATAGGAGTAATTTTATTGTTACTTCTTTTTGGGCCAGTAGTATTTGGTTTTACCCTAGGTCTCTGTAATATCTAGTGTTTGGTTCTTTGCCACCCAAGAAGTGTTGGGTATGGGTTCCATCTCATGGAGTGGGTCTTAAGTCAAACAGGAATAATCAGACATTGATTGGTTAGATTCAAGGATTTTTCATCATTGGTTACCTAAAATTCCATTACTAGTTTCCTAGAAGACTCAGAAAAAAGTATAATGTAGATTTTTAAAAACAAAGTCAGATAGCTAGAGTTCAGAAAAATAAATCATACTCATTAGATTCCAAGCACATACTTTTTTCATATATCAATACTTGTGAACTTCCATGAATATTCCAATATTTTGGCTGTAAAAGGAAGAAAAGGATTCAAATTGGATTGCACTTTGAGAGTCAAAACTATCCTCTCTCTATCTCATCATACATTGTACTTCTATGTTTTGACATACAGATTTGAAATGCACAATTCTAGACAGTCACGCTATGGTAATGTGCTACAAAGCCTACTCTATAAATTTTGTATCTCACTTGAAGATTTTATCTATCATAAATATCCTATTTAAGTAAACAGCCCTTTATTAGAACCTGGTTTATCTGAGCATCAAGTTCTTGCCTAACTATTTACACATACAACCCCACCAGTAAACTGTTACCCTATGCTAGTTTTTAGATATCTGGAGATCCCTTACTTCTGGTATGACTTTCTAAGTAATAACATCATTTAGCTTTAATGTTTTGAGTTTTACTTTATGAAAAGTTCAATTATCTTTTCTGTGGTAATTGTTTCTTTCATATAGCATTGTATTTTTTGAGGTGCATTACTCTTAGAGTGTGTTGTGTGATATATTATTTAACATTGCTGCAATATTCCATTGTGTGAATAAATCAGAATGCATTTACCCTTTCTCTTGCTGAGTAACATTTGATCTTTATAATCAAGGAAGTCATAAACAATTCCCCTGAATGAATTCCTTTAGAGAAAATATTTATGAGACATATTTCCAGGCAACCCACAGTGCTGAACCAGTTTAAATTCTCACCAACAGTAAATGAGATATCTATTGCACCATAGCCTTTCCAAAACTGTAAATTGTTGTCAAACTTTCTAATTTTGCCAGTCTGGAAGGGTGTAACACAATATCACATTGTGGTTTTGATTTGCATCTTTTTGGCCATGAATCATTGGGAATTTTCATGTAAAAAGAATAAAAATTTTCCTTTCAAACATTTTCTTCAAATTAGGTAATTGAAGTAGTTGATTTGGATGAATTGTGACTAATCAACTCGACTTTTTGTGGATTATCTATCATCTGTCTGTCTCTCTATCTCCTATCTATCTGTCTGTCCATCATTGGTCAATCATCTTCTATCTATCTATCTATCTATCTATCTATCTATCTATCTATCTATAATTGGCCTGTATATCATCTATTCTCTCTCTGTGTATATATATATATATATATATATATGTATCTATTAGATATTGAAAGTAAGTTATGGAGTTTACAAATCACGTGAATATGCTGTATCTCTTTCCCCACTGTTGTAATATTAACTTCTTATACATTAAAACATTATAGAAGGCATTGGAGTTTGCATCTTTCACATGTCATAATTTGAAAAATGCATAATTGTCTTTATAAGCATCAGTTGATTTATATCCTTTATTTCTTCAAGGTTTTGATTTTCACTTAATATAGTCAGGTGTAGGTTTATTTCTCTTTAGCTTAATTGTTAACTATGACAACATTTCATGAAGAAAGTTGATTTGCTTATGTGTACAAGCTCTATTTCTTTTCAAAGTTCTCAAGATTTAGTACATTTTATTTCCATTGTCCGGTCAATTTAAACATTAAGCAACTGAGCAAAATTAGTTGTTTCTTTCATTTCAATCTAGATATCTTATACTTCCACAAGGTTTGTATAATAATAATTTTCATGCTTCATATTAGATATTCATCTACTTTTACTACATTATTTGATATTGTATTATTAATTTCTATCTTACAAAATGAAATGCAAGATGTTTATCAACCAAAATTAACTCCATATTGAATTTTATGTTAACCAATGTTATTGGTTTTATGACCTAATTACCCGAGGGTTCAAAATATCTTCCATGGTTACTTTTACTAAGATTTAAAAAATGAAAAATTTTGAATTATACTGAGAAAGAACACTGATGTCCCTCAGCTGTTTCTATTTCTAGTGGCATTTTCTAACAAGTTGGGAAAATATTCAAAATAAACATCAACTTTGAACCTACTGAATTCCATATGGTTGCCATTAAAGCCTGAGATTGAAGAGTTTTTATTTTTTTCAAAAGCATTTTTAGAAAAGTTCCGATTCTAGATTTAGATAGCTTTGGTTCACATCTAAATAAACCCATTTAATATAACCAAATCCTGACCCTAATAATAGCAATATTAGATTACTATTATATATAGAAATTATGGAAACATGATAAGCTTTTCTTAATTATAGAGTAAGATTACAAGGTACTAAAAATAAGTTTTGGTTCACAAAATACTTTATTGCTTTTTTTTACTTTATTGCTTTTAAAAATACTCTTTCTTGATATGTTTGACTGTTAACATAAGCTTTTGTCTTGATGCTATACAAATCCTTGACAATGACTTAGATGATCACTAAAGCATAACAGTGGATTAATAGATCGTGAAGACAAAATTAGCAAAAGTTTCTCAGATCACAATGGGCATAAAAACATCACAAACACAAATTTGACATCTTTGAAGTTCAAATAATTTTAATACAGTGTAAATATAAAGAAATGAAAACTATATTATGATTTCATCTTACTTTCAACATTCACTCAACCTGGAAGGATACATATAAGCCAAATATGTATTCAGCTTAATTAGTGGTAGTAGATTCATTTATCACTAGAACTCTGTATAAAAAGGGTTCAAGTTTGTTTTTGCTCCTGTAAGTCTCTGAGTTCTTCTTTGATCAGGTCTATGACTCCCCATTGCTTTTAATATTTTTACTCTGATGGTGCTAACCCTCTACCCATACCTTGAACCAGCCAACTCACTCCTGTTCCTGAACCATTGATGAAGTCATCATTTTAGGACTAACCTTGCCATAAGGTAGTCACAGCAGCCTCCCTCCCCTTACCAAAGTCACTGTTTCTGTGTCACCTCCTCAGAGACTTTTCATGACTGTCACACCTTCTATATTTCCTTTATCTGCTTTATTTTTCTTTGTCACAATTATCACCGCTGGACTCTTACATATCTAATATTGGTAAGCTTTTGCCTTAATAGCTCCAGAAGGCCAGGGACTATGGCATCTCAAGCTACAGAGCAAAGGTACCCTTAGGCAGACTCCACTTACTTCTAGTGCTAAAATCTCAAGCAATAGGAAACATCTGCCTTTGTGTTTTGTCCCTCAATGACCCCATTGTGAGGATATGTCACTATGCTGCAAAGCACAAAATTTGTTTTTATTTCTAGGCTAGCTTAATGGTATCCTAAATGTGATATATCTCCTCCAAACTTCCCTTTCAAACATAACATTTAAAACTGTAATTTTAACAGAGAAACCTGCTAGTATAAGTTCTTATATTAAGTTCTGTAAAATCCCATTTTCTACTCATAATGTTACCAAATTCACAGAAATATTCTTTTGTCATCCAGGGCCCTATGATGATACACCAGCTTGTGCTACCAAGTGTCAAAACTTTGGACTGTCAAGGATATTAAGAATGCATTAGAGCTGGGCGGTGGTGGCGCACACCTTTAAACCCAGACCTCAGGAGGCAGAGGCAGGTGGATCTCTGTGAGTTCGAGACCAAGCCTGGTCTACCAAAACAATACAGAGAAACCCTGTCTCGAAAAACCAAAAAAAAAAAAAAGAATGCATTAATTATAGGAACAAGAACTTCACAGAATAATGTATAGACAACTTTTAAATAAAAAGAAGCCTTCAGTAGGAACTCACTAAATTACCAATAAAGATAGAATATACACATCTTTCAATTCAAGATTATTTTATTAAGACATTGGAGAGTAGAATTAACCCTATAATTGTGTTTCTTTGGCCAGAATTGTGTATCTTTGGCCAGATGATGACGAATAGTAAGTTAATTTTAAATGTGTCCTATCAGGTTTTTTATTATAGTGATTTAATGAGCAAAGTCATGCTTATACATGTATATCGCATTACTCTAGAGAGGTTTTTAAATATTGTAATATGGCTAGTTTATTGATTTGAACTAACTGTCTTCTTTGCATAGAGTTCTTCATTTTCTTAACCACATAATCAGTTACATTATACACCTATAAGTGGGGTAAGATAACGTTTTCTTATAGTTGGAAAGCAGAAGATACCTTATTTATAAATAAAAGAACAAGAATATAGGGGAATGAATTGTTTGAATATTTTGCTGTATTACAGATACTATTTTTTAGGAATCCCTAGAAAAGAGTGTGAATTTTATTCTGTCAAAGAATAGCAAGGGTGCTTCTAAAAAGACAGGTGTGTTCAGTCATTATAGAGCTATGGCAACTAAAATAACTATGTGTCTATTGATACATGTGATAGTACCCTCCTCACAATATTTAATTAGATTTCCTTACCATAACTTATTTTTGGGCTTAAAGGTTTTTAATAATTCAATAATGATTTTCCTATCATGGTATAGTTATACTAATAAAAATAAACTGCACTAAATTGTATTTTCTTAAATTCAAAGCTCTATGAGATGGTTCCTTTTCTGTT